ACTCCTGGACTATAAACTATTCTTGTGTTTTTGAAAACATCGTACACAAACGAGGTTATTATTTCTGTAGAAGTTTCTGAAAATAACGACCAATTTCAAAGAATCAATTTGACAATCATCGCCTATACATTAAGGCTCCCCCATATTTTCAGATATTGCTTTATTTACCCAATCTATTGGCTATTAGAAGGCACATTCATTTATTGCCAAGTATTTGAATCATTGGCGTATCCTTATTGTACTTCTCAAGGAAAGAAATATACGCATTGAAGAAACTGATTAGTTTCAGATATAATTACTTGACTTGTATCCCTGTCTATCCATGGAGATAGGATATTGAAGGAGATGTTACGTTCATTTAAACATTATTTTAGAAATGACATCGGTGGGCGGGGTTAAGTCGACGTAAGTGAAGCATCAATATGGCGGCCGTACCAGGTCCAGACTAACTTGTGGATAGAATGCACAAGTATAATGGGTGTTGCATCGTCGAGGGGTACATAGGAAATCCCATGTAATTTTAAATAGGGTCAATTATTGGCTCCACTAATTATTTTCCCACATTCTAAATAATAACTTTAGATATGTTTGATTAGCCCATTAGTGAGTTATCGCCGATTTCTTTTCCCTTTTTTATGGTCCTGTATTTACGAGTATCATTCAAGATAAAAGATGACTGTCAAATGAAGTTGTCATTTTAAAATGTGTGCTTTACTGTACATCGAAAATATTAAAGGTGTATTCATGATAACTCGTAAACAATAAAAAATATTATTCTTTTGAATGTTTTAGTGCTCTTTAATCTAAATAGAATTTTTCTCTAAAATAATTAGGGAAGCCAATAATTTACCCCATTTAAAACTACATGGGATTTAATATGTCCCGCTCGATGATGCAACACCCATTATATTAAAATTATTTGTTCCGATTTGAGTCAAAAGCAGAAGATATAAACAATTAGTATAATATAATTTTAGGTTGTATATTTAGATTTATTGAATTTTGTTTCAGAACTTTTGGAAAACTACCTACCTATTTAAACAAGAAAATTTAATTATTTAAACAAAAACTATTTTATTATTTAAAAAAAAACTATTTAACTATTTAAACAGAAATTACAAATTAAAACTTAATAAAAGATTGGTAGTTATTGCATATTTTGACACAAATTTTAATGGGATTAAAACTTTTTTTCATAAAAAATAAAAAATATTTTATTTAAAAATCGAGTATTTTTGGGTAAAAAGTGTTATTGTAGAAGAAAAAAAAAATATAACTTTTACCCTAAATTTAAAAGTAATTTTACAATATAAACTTGTAATGGACATGAATCTTAAAATTTTTAGCACACAAATGAAACAAACGCCATTGGTATAAAATATGATATTTTAAATTTATTTAAGTATATTCTGTTCTTAAATATGTACTTATAACAATTAATTTAAAAATTAAGTAAGAAATTCCAAAATAAGACCATAAGCATTAAAGGTTAAAACTTTGCTAGAAGAATGTTATAAAGGGTAACTACAATACCAACAAACATTTAAAAAGTCTATGGTCTTAGTTTTGAATATCCTTTTAATTTCTTTGTCGTATTTATGAGTAGATTATTATAATAATAAGATTAATAATGTTTATTGTTAATCAAGAAGAGCTACAAATTGTTAGATAGATACACATACATGATTACTTTTTTACCTGGGGTATATCAGTAGTAGGAATAGCATATTCTTTTAGAAGAACATAACATTAAGAACTTAAATCAAAGTGTTGTTTAAGAAAGTGCTTGAAACAGAATACACTATATTTCGTAGGTACCCAAGAACTTCTATTTACAACATTTATCCATTTCTCAAGTTTTTCTGGATCCCGTGGAAATCTGCAATAAATTAATAAAATTATGGTTATTATGTAGATATATAAATGTTGTATGTTAATTTAGAATGTAGTGTCATGGAATTCCTAAGCCGTCTCTGTCTGAGCAAGCGACCTTCACGTCTGTGGCACCCGACTCATGCTCGAAACGACGGAATCTTTTAGGTATGCCGCTGACGCTCGAGAAACGGCTAGAACGGGCGGAGCGTTCCGTTGAGTCAGAGATGGAATTTTCGGGAGTGTCTAGAGACTTCTCGTAGCAGAGTTGGACTTGGTATAAATAGCCCGACTCATCGGCGGGCAGTTTAGTTTAGAAAAAGTATTGGACTAAAAAGATAAATTGTAATAAATAAATAAGAATTGTGAGTTAGTGCCTAAGTATTATATAAATTAATTAGTACGTCATAAATAAATTGTAAATAGTGTGTTTTAAATAAATAAACTATAAATAAATTAGACTATCGTTACATTGGTGTTAGAAGTGGAACTATAAATAAATAGTGGACAATAATGGCTAAAAAACTGTGTGATTTAAAAGACACTGAGCTACGTCGAGAATTAGAAAAACGTGAACTGGAGACGACAGGGAACAAATCAGAGCTGGCAGAACGACTTAAAAAAGCACTAGAAAATGAAGGTTTGGATCCGGAAACTTTTCTATTTTCGGATGATACGCCTGCTATAATTTCTTCAATTTCTTCTGATATGTCTTCCATGAAAACCGATATTTCTTCTAATATTTCCCCATTAGAAGAAAAAGGGACTTCTTCAAAAACCGAAATTTCTCCCGATTTGGAAAACAAAATCTGTTCATTGAAAGATGAAATTTCTGTGCTGTGCTATGAGTAATGGTCCTCAGCGAAAAAGGAAGGCTCCCATGAAGCAATACAACGTTGGTAGCCCATTTGAGGGGATCGCCTTAGATATTGCTGGACCATTCCCCATGACCGAGAATGGTAATAAATACATAATGGTGATTATGGATTATTTCACGAAGTGGGTGGAAGTCTACGCAATTCTAAATCAAGAGGCCGCAACTGTTGCAGATGTATTGATAAAAGAGTTTATCTGTCGATTTGGAGTGCCCTTGGAGATCCACAGTGATCAAGGCAGAAATGTTGAAAGCCAACTCTTCCGTGGAATCTGTGACAGATTAGGCATGAAGAAAACCAGAACCACAGCATTGCACCCACAATCCGATAGAATGGTAGAGCGGATGAATAAGACCATTGGCAAATATCTGTCAAAAGTGGTTTCAAACCATCAGCGAGATTGGGATCAGTATCTTTCGCTCTTTGCAATGGCTTATATATCCGCTGTCAATGAATCAACAGCAAAGGTCCTGTTTGGGCGTGAGATGAGACTACCGTGCGACCTCGAGTTTGGATGCCGACCTGGAGAAGATGTAGCTGGTGAAGATTATGTGATCCAGTTACGAAGAAAAATGGACGATATGCATGAATTGGTCCGCTCGCATCTTCAAATCGCCAGCGACAGAATGAAGAAGCGATATGATACCCAAACCACAGAAGGATGTTTCAAGGAAGGCGACAAAGTCTGGCTCCATAACCCAAAAAGACAAAAGGGTTATTCTCCAAAGCTTCAAAGGTCTTGGGAAGGTCCCTACCTCATCAAGAAAAAATCAATGATGTCATTTAACGTATAAGTAAGATCCCAAACGGTAAACCAAAGGTAGTTCACCAAAACCGGCTGGCGCCATTTGAGGGTGACCATGAAGAGGAAGAAGAAGTAAACCAGCTCCAAGAAACACTTGACCTTGTCTTTGAAGAATTTATGGGTGCATATGGAGGTACCGGAAAAGCAAGATACAGTGTTACAACCGAGCAACAACAAGACCTGCTCACGGTTCCTAAAGATTACTCGCTGGTCCATAGCACTTTCGCCAACATCTACGACGCTCGAGGTCTGGCATTTGTATTCCGGAAGAAGTTTGGTCGATTGCCAGAACTTCAAGATCAGTTACCAGCCCCTGGAAAAGCATTGAAACTTCAAGGTGGATCGCATTATCTTTTCTATCTGGTAACAAAGAACACCTTCCGAGATCGATCCACCTATCATGCTGTATGGGAAGCATTACTCAGTTTGAGGGAGCATGTACTGGAGTCCAATGTACAGAAACTAGCTATGCCAAAGATAGAGAGTAACTAGCTGAATTGGTGGATCATTAGAAACATGGTAGAAGTAATCTTCCAAGATACCCAATACCCAGGTTGAAATACTGTCCCTTGTTACTTCCATGCAACTGGAAAAGAGGATCCAGTTGCAAATACAACCGTTCAGTTTTAGTTCTAGAAGGAACTATTTCTTAAGGAGGGAGCAATACCATGGAATTCCTAAGCCGTCTCTGTCTAAGCAAGCGACCTTCACGTCTGTGGCACCCGATTCATGCTCAAAACGACGAAATCTTCTAGGTATGCCGCTGACGCTCGAGAAACGGCTAGAACGGACGGAGCGTGCCGTTGAGTCAGAGATGGAATTTTCGGGATCGTCTAGAGACTTCTCGTAGCAAAGTTGGACTTGGTATAAATAGCCCGACTCATCGGCGGACAGTTTAGTTTAGTAAAAAGTATTGGACTGAAAAGTTAAATAAATAAATTAGAATTGTGAGATAGTGTCTAAGTATTATATAAATTAATTAGTACGTCATAAATAAATTGTAAATAGTGTGTTTTACAGTAGTTTCTAATATTGCCTTATTACCGTCATTGATAAGAAACCATTTAATTTTGAAAACTATATCAATATTTTATTTTAATACCACTCTGAATTGTGTTTATACCTACCTATGAAATGTTATTTTTAAAATTTTCTTTTTCACACCGTTCCTACTTGCGCAATTGCGTTTGGCTGCTCACGACGCCATTGTTCTTATAATGTTTTTGATACGAATAGTTTATTATAAATTATAATGAGATTAAACAATTCATTAAAATAGAAACTGTCACAAGTGAAGGAAGTCTAGTATCAATATGGGCGACGTAGTGACACTTTTGAGCACGTCATTGCGCATCCTTCTCTATTTTACCTCAATATTTAAAACCTACTTTATTTAATTCAAATTGTAAGAAACGAACTATTGCTGTATGACTTTTTTTTTGTTTCAGTCTGTCGCGAAGGACTTTTTTGGAAGAATCATCACCAAACCAACTTCATGTGGTAAGTTATATTGCTTTTCCAATTTATTTCAATACTTTTAAACGATAAAAGATAGGTAGCACATGTCGAAAATAGTTATACATTTAATACATTTGAAAAACTGAAAAAATTTATCTGGAAATTTCTGGAGTGTGAAATAAATTTTTGACCATCGCATAAAAAATTAACGTACTCTAATAAATTTTTGGTCGTTTCACTTTGATCATTTTGTTGTTTTTAAACTTTTAAAACTTGACAAACTGTTATGCTGTTGTATCATGCATAAACATAATTTTATTTAGGGTGTAACAAAAAGGTAGGTAATAAATTATACCAGATACTTGATTTTGTTAGGACTATGGGTCATATAGCCTCCTCCACCTCGAAAATTTCGGATCTGGGGATATTGATATTATTTAATCGTTGTTTAGATAACGTTATCTAGTTTGGTCTTTTGTATTAGATTCGATAGAGTAAATAGTTCTCCAGCGTAGCTAAATGTTCTAGGTTTTTGATCTACAAGTGTAAGGAACCTCACTCTTGATAGACCTTTGCGATAGCACAATACGTGCACTGTAATTTTCTGCAGTTCCCGACAGAATCGGCACAAAATCTCTTCTGCCAGGCCGATGTTACACATATGTTTGTTAATAGACCTACTAGTACTCTATTATTTTTCCTATTATGGGTTAGTAGATGCTCGATGAGTTTTGACGATGGTCTTTTTAAAAACTCTTTTGCCTGTCTCTGTCCTGGGAATTTTTCACTATTACTGAGATTTTTTAACATCCACTGCTTTGTGCATATTCTGATTACTGTCTTTGTGATACCACAGATGGGTTCTGGGCCAATAAAAGCCCTTGAGGTTCCTTCTTAGGCTAGCGAATCAGCCTTTTCATTGCTCTTATGTTCTCTGCGGCCTGGTACCAGGCTAAGGTTAGTCTGTTTTCACTACTCAGCTCTGTTAAAGCTTTTAAAACAGTCCTACACAAGTTGTGTTTATATGATAATGGTTTATTCCATTTACCTTATGTCTCAATACCTTTCCTGCGCAGTAATGTATTGCTGGTACTTCTACTTGGAATATTGTCGCATAAGCTAAGTAATATTCTTGTCTTTGGCTTGGCACTGTATATATCTACTCTCTAACCTTCATGGGTTTTAGATCTGTATATCAGGTGATTTGCGCGGAAATAGGTAGTCCTCCCACCCACGCTCCCCTGTCTGGTATACATACTTTATATTGTTTTTGAAAGCTATAGTTTGGAAGCATTTCGCCTGAAGGCATTCCTATTATTTTGTCGTTCTCCAACTCTTTGGATAGCTCGCTGTAGTTACGTCCATGCAGACTGCTTATGGTTGATGGACCTTTGTACAGTCTGTTTGTTGTATTAGGTTTAGCATGACTTCTAGGGCTGCTGTTGGAGTCGTTCTTATGGGGTGGCACTCAAGCATGTTTGCCTTTGATAACCGTTGATCTGTAGAATAGCTTGCCGACTCTTTGGCCATCATACCACCGATCCGTAGGTTATCATAGGCTTTCTGACTCTGGTATACAGACATAGGGACATTTTTGGTTGTAGTGTGAAATATAATTTACCTGTACACAAAAGTGCTTACAAAAAAAATATAGCTTTTTAAAGTTAGAATTTGCGGCAAAATAGAGTTTTAATACTTAAATACGTTTTCTAGTATTTTTTAAGCAGAATTACGTATTTTGAATGATATTTAACACATGAATGTGGGAATCTCTAATTATAAATAAACTCATGGATAGAAATAAGTGGAAAAAAAATGGTTGCAAAATTTGAAGCTGTAGATCTTTAAGACCTTTAGCGCTATACTCGTATTATATTTATACATAAAATAAATTTTTCCTAAAAGTTCTAAGGGTCAAAAGAGTTTAAAACGTTAAATTAATAGTGGCACAAGAATAACCCATTTCTGAAGTATACAAAAGTTTGGGGATTTAGAGGATCAGGATATTCATTATTTGTTATTTTGCTTATAATAATAATTATTATTTTGCTTTCGTTCACTCACTTTTCCGAAAAATCCTGTATTTATTGCACCACGTCTACATACAGACCTAATTTTATTCGAAATTTCCGTTCACAATTCTCTTCTATACGAAATTAATCTAAATATTAACGTCTTTATTACAAAGTACAAACATTAAACATGGCAGTAGGACATTAAGGAGGTTGAATAGCAATTTTGGTGGGCAAACAAGATGATAGAAGGCGGCTCTTCGGCGAAGGAATATCAACGATCAACGGTTCAGATTTCATCCGAAGGCAATTACAGATGAATTACCGCTTCAACAAATCTTGTAATTAAGCCAAACTTTGGCCAATGGCGTGCACATTGTTCTTAAGAATATTACATTCGTATTCACAAAGCAGTTTTGAATAGTTATAGTCTCGGTCAGAGATAATTTTTCTTTTTTCACAATTTCGAACTTTAATTGGATTTTCCGATTTAGTTTGTGATTATGTTTTGAAAATATCTCAAGAGCAAAAAAGCACCTAAATATTACATTGAATATCACAGTAGAATGTTACAAAGGTTGATGAATTTTCTCGAGTTGTTCGTATCCTTCTAAAGTATGCCACGTCAAAGTTACATCCCTAGAGAAGGAAATAGGCACAATACCATGTTCTTTTCCAAAATAACGTATGCCTACAATAATTATACATCAGATTTTGCTTCAAATTCGGTATATTTGTTGCTGAGTTGCTTATAATATTAACCCAAAGAATAAACCAATGTCAAACTCCAAAATTTTCAAGAAATTTTCCAACTTACTTCAGTTTTTGGCGGTTTTAACCATGAAAAACTAATTTTTCGAGTGTAACTAATACATTTTGAAAGTCCAGAACCGTCTCTGTATACCCAATAGTTTTCAAAATACAGCTTTTCAATGTTTATAATTTTTTTTGAACAAAGACATTTTTAGAAATATTTTGTTATGTGGACCCTGTAAGCCTATTTTCATCGGGACATGCTCTCTTCCATATTCCAATGGACACTGAAGAGGTTTCAGAGAACCTACAGATGAACTATCGTCTAAATTTTTTATATTTTTCATTACTTGACGTGTTCTTTGCGTTATATTATCGAAACCTTGTCTGAACGTTTTATGATATAAACCCCTTCCCTTCCATCCATATAAAAAATTCTGTAGTGATTTTGTTCTATCCCTTTTAATTATTATGTGGGGATCTTATGGAAGAAAATGAGAATTTTGAATGTTTTAATTTTAATTTCAAAAAATTTAATTTAAAATTAAAATATACTTTGTTGTAATTTACAACAAAATATGTATCAATTTATTGTACATAACAAATTGACAGTAGGGGAGACTGGGGTAAAATGATCCCCTTAAACGTAATTTCATTATATTTTTGCAAGTACAGGGATATAAATATATCATGTTACCCAAATGCTATAGGTAAAACGATCCCCCACATGGGGTAAAATGATCCTATTTTCAAAACATTATTTTATTACTACACATTCGATAAATAATATAACAATATAAATGCAAAACATTAGTTTATTAATAATAAGCATAAAACAACATACAAAGCATTAAATCATTTTTAGTACTCTTAAGAGAGTAAACAGAAACTTGCTCAACATTATTTAACAAAATTAACTTAAACAACTTTTAATATCTTAACTAATATAAAACTTGATATTTTTATTAACTCGATAAGTTTGGGTTTGATGCAAACAGAAATCACACTTAAAATTGCAATCGTTCTCATCGACCCCGGCACACTGATCATGAGCCATTTTAGGCATTTAATGCACCTGATCCATCCTTCGCCAGTCAAAAAAGCAGTGTATTTTTCGCAGCAAAAGATGCACTCTTCTGATTCTGATCCGCTGTTACTGCTTGAGTCATCACTTTCCTCTACTACTGTTTTTGTCATCTTGTTTAATTTAACTTTTTTCGTGATTTCTGATTTTTTTTTTTAAGAGGCTAAGCTAAGCCTCTAGTTCAATTTTTTTCCTATTCTCCTCTTCAATCATGATTTTGTATGGGGTACTCGTGAGCAAAACGGTCCCTTAATTTTTGGAAGAGGATTGCAATCAGCAGGGTTACGGTAAAGGAACTTTCCACTTCGACTTCACATTGGTCTGATACCTGATTTGTAATTGCTGGGGGGATATCCGGTCATGTACTTGGCTCAGGAATTGGAGAACTATGTAGAAGTTGGTTGGTTGCAGAGGTTTCTTCATTATTCTCTAAGTTTTCTTGATTATTTTGAGCAGCTTCGTGGGTCTCTTCCGTAACTTCTGCTGCTGCAAAATCAGCGTCAGAAAACGTGTCAGGATCAAAGAGCATAATATCGTTTTTTTTTTAAAGCATTTATTGCATTATTCGTACACATACTTCCAGGTAGGCTTCTGAAAAGATTCTGCTTATCTGGAACGTTGTTACTGTTAGGCCTGGATTATTGGTAGTCCATTTTTCCAATGACTGGTCCATGTACGTGCTTAATGGTTGGTTGGTTGCAGAGGTTTCTTCATTGTTCTCTAAATTTTCTTGATTATTTTGAGCAGCTTCGTGGGTCTCTTCCGTAACTTCTGCTGCTGCGAAATCAGCGTCAGAAAACGTGTCAGGATCAAAGAGCATAATATCGGTTTTTTTAAAAGCATTTACTGCATTATTCGGTACATATACTTGCAGGTAGGCTTCTGAAAAGATTCTGCTTATCTGGAACGTTGTTACTGTTCGGCCTGGATTATTGGTCGTCCATTTTTCCAATGACTGGTCCATGTACGAGCTTAATGGATACATTACCCCTACATCCAACGGTTGCAACTTTTGTGTTGTATGGGGAGGGGGGGGCAAGCATAATATTACAACGTTATTTTCTTTTGTATTAGTCACGACGTTCAGATTTTTAGTGCGGGTCAAAAAATGTCCATCTGAAATTAGCAAGACGGGATTCTCTTTAGTTGGCTTCCTTAAATTCAAAAAGTGGTCAAACCATTGGCCAAACATT